TCTCTCTCTCTCTCTCTCTCTCTCTCTCTCTCTCTCTCTCTCTCTCTCTCCTCCCTTGTTTTTTCCCCTCCTCTTTTCTCCCCTCCTACTTATTCCCTCTGCCCACTAGTCCCACACAGCTATTGGCCATTCAGCTTTTTATCAGACCAGTCAAGTGCCTTAGACAGGCAAAGCAACACATCTTTACATCTTTAACAAATGCAGCATGAACAAATGTAACGCATCTTTGTCTAGATAAAGTAATATTCCATAACAGGCCTGAGCTCAGCTAATCCAACAAAGAGAGCAAATTGCCAACAATATTTCCCCAAAAAGCAGCAGCAGGGTCCCTTGTCCATGGTACTAGTGACGTGTGCTGCACAATCCATTGACTGCCATGCACCAGAAACAACACTGCCCAGACTCTGGCCCAACCATGGTTCTGACTTGGTTCCTGCCAACCTTCAGGTCCAGGTTTCTCCCAGCCTTAAAGCGGAGCACTCCCCCACAGCATTTCAAGAAATTCCTTTTGTCGTTGAATCACCATGGTTCTCGGAGACAAAAAAAAAAAAAAAAGATAAAATGATATGGTATGGTAAACCAAGAAGCACTGTTACCCATAAAAGGCTCATGACGTTATTCTGGAAAATGGGCAGTTCCTTGCAGCTTACAACTCAAGACCAGCTCTGAGAACAATGATATGTGTGTACAAAAATGTCATAGTGAAATCCAATATTGCATACAATTGAAAAAAATCAATAAACTTAAAATTTTAAAAGAAGATCAGACGCTAGGAGCACTGGTCGCTCTTCCAGAGGACCCAGGTTCAATTCCCAGCACCCACACGGCAGCTCACAACTGTCTGTAACTCCAGTGCCAGGGGTCCAACACCCTCACATAAACATACATGTAAGCAAAACACGAATTCACACAAAATTTCTAAAAACTTTTTTAAAAAGATCTCAGGTTGGAGAGATGGCTCAGCAGTTAAGAGCACTGGCGGCTCTTCCAGAGGACCCAGGGTCAATTCCCAACACCCACATGACAGCTCACAACTGTCTGTAACTGCAGTTCCAGGAGATATGACACCCTCACACAGATATACTTGCAGGCAAAGCAGTAATGCACATAAAATAAAAATAAATAAGTCATTACAATTTTTTGAAAGACCATCTCTGATAATCCACTACTAATTTGTCACCGTTTATGATCCAATTGTTCTGTTCCACCCACTAAAAAGCACAGCAGCCAGACAGCATCTCCGGGGAGTCTTCCATTGTCTTTACCACTTGTTACAGGACCTAGGCAGCAAGCCCTCTGCTACAGAGTTCAGTGCACCCGCATTCTGAATACACTCCAAAGTGTGTAGCAGAATGAAGAGTCCTGCTTTCTCTAATTAGTCTGTGAGAAGAGGTGCATGCATCTAAGGCCAAGTTCTTGAAAGGAATGAATTGCTTTAACTATACAAGCTGCCCTCCTCAACAAATCGTGTGTGTGTGTGTGTGTGTGTGTGTGTGTGTTTCTACGTGTCATTGCTATCGTTACTCCAGAAAATAACAAATAAGATTATTATTATCTGCTAACTTTAAAACGCAAACCAAAGTCCTCAAATGTAAACCAAACAAGAATATTGTGGAAGCCGATCATGATGGCCATCGGCTTTAGGAGGCTGAGGCAGGTAGCCAACCTGGCCTACAGAGTGAGTTCAAGGACAGCCAGGTCTACACAGAGAAACCGTGGGGGAGCGGGGAGTGCAGTATTGTGGAATGAATAGTGAAGCTAGACTTCCCCACCTCTACCTACCCCAACCACAGACTGATGGGTCTGAAGGAGTAGTGGTCACATGCAAAATCAACCTACCTATCTGAGTCCTTACCCCCAGTGCAAAGTGGGAAGCCGTCTTGTGTTGACGGACTACAAATCCTATGGACACACATGTATGTTATACAATTCTATAAATAGTAATTCACCTTACATTGACACTGTGCTTCCAGACTTGCAAAGCCTTGTCACATAAACTGTCGCATATACACATAGGTGGTGCATTACACTTGTTCTTGTAGCCACTACAAGGCGAAGCACACGGCGAATCCTCCGTAACTTAGGCTAAGAGGATCTGTATTCTGCTCTTTTGTTACACTGTAATTCTCATTTGACCGGCTCTTTAAGAATGCCTTACTCATCCTCCTATGCCTAAGCCACACAAAACCCGGACCATCAAAGTGCACCCTTAAACAGCAGACTTCTCCCTCCTTCCGCCAGACTGATCAGGTGAGGCCTCAGTTCTGAACCTGACGTACACACCCCTGCTCGTTCCCTCCCGCCCCCACCCACCCCTGCCACTTCTGATTTCCACAACCGATGAAGCTCGCTGCACAAAGTATGGATGTTTTATTCCCCAGCAAAATTATCTACTGCCCAAGGCTTCTCCTCCATCTGTAGCACTGGCTCCCCCCAAATCCTGCTGTTGCCTGCGGTGCTGCACATATCCCACAGAGACGACCCCAAGAGGTCCAGACCCACCCCCAGAGCCATGCACCCCTCCGTACGTACCCCAGGAGACAGCGATCGCAGACGACGCCACGACTCCCCTTGCACACAGTGTATGCCAAGGGGTCGGAGCGGAAGAGCAGCTCCCCGGGGCGCAGTGGGGCCACGGCACGCAGCCCATTTCCCCGGTCGGCGGTCGTGAACTTTTCCACCTTCAGTGTCTCCATCCTTCCACAGACCTGCACCTCAGATCCGCACCTCAGACCCGCACCGCGTCCCTCAGCTTGAGTCTCGTGTTTTCTGACTGCGCGCCTGCGTCCTGCGCTTGCGTACACTAGGGGGCGGGAACGAACGCGGGTAGGTCATGTGAGCATGCGCAGGAGGGCCTACTACAACCTGGGCTGGATGATGTCTTCCAGTATATTATTGTGCGATTCTTTTTTTTCTTTTCTCTCTCTTCTTTTTTTATTTTTTTTTTTATTTTTTTGAGACAGAACCTCAATGCGTGTAGCATTGTGCAGATCTGGAACTCCCTATATTGACTGAGGAACTTCTCTATTTAGACCTAGAACTTAACAGGAATCTGCCTGCCTCAGTCTCCGCAGTTCTGGAATTCCAGGTGCACTCTACCACACCCTGCTCCTTGTGCTCGTTTTAATACATAGGGAACAGTTGACAGGACAGTGGCCATCACCTGCATATTCCCCACCTAGATGAACAATTCTCAGCGTTTGCTGTTTCCAATCATGCCATCTGTTTGTGTATGTGCTCATATTGATAAACCATTCCAGAGTAGTCTTTGTTGAAACAATTGAAAATATGTTGCAATCAGGTCTTGAACTCGGAGATCCTTTATCGCCACCTCTTCAGCACTGGAATTATGGGTATAAAACTACCCGATAATAGTGAGAACACACAGCGTGCCTAGAAATGTCAGCTTTTAGACAGACTCTCTCTCTATTATGTTGCCGTGGTTGTCCTGGAACTCTCTGTGTAGACCAGGCTGGCCTTGAACTTACAGAGATCCACCTGCCACTGCCTAAGGGTTGAGATTAAAGGTGT